AATGCAGTAACTAGTTGCACCTTCACTATTTTATGGGTCATAAATATGACTCGAACCAAGCTGCTATGTGTACCAGTCTACCGAGCATGTCATGGACCTCACTGCTGCAAGGCATTCAAACATGACCTCAAATCTTGAACATTCAAATCTCAGAGCATCGGTTGCTTGGAACAATGGAAACCCTACTGGTCGCAAATCTTTAATGACTCATGCATTGGCTATATTGATCCGCTTCGCTAGCGACCCTGCACTCATTCAGCTTTTGCAAAATTTTGCTCAAGCTGATCTCAAACTGTACACTGAAAAAAACATGTATTTTAAAGAACCATTAGAGGTACCTCAAGCTTTTGCTTATATTTTGTACTTGTCTCCTGATGGTCTGTTTAGCGCATTGATGTCAGTGAGATGTTCGTCACCTACGCAGGCAATGTCACAACTCATTTTAATCACTATCCCAGGTAATGATGGGCAGTGCGTCACAGAATGGAGGTGAAGAAAGTGTGATGGAGGATGTAGGAACTTGGGAGTATGAACCGATCAAGTAATAGTCTGAAAACCCTTATGGAACAACGCCTGGTCTCGGACATTTTTTTGCATTCGCCGACATTGGCGAGCTGGCCAAAAGGTAAGGCACTGGTTTCCGGGGTCGTTGTGGTCGCCAGAGATTCAGGGTTCGAGCCCCTGGTTCGTCGTTTTGTAGAGGAAATAATTTGGATGATGTTTTATGCCAAAAACATAGCCGCTGACATTCAATATTTGAATGGTTTTGTGAGTAACGTACCATTGAAGCACAAAAAAGGCGGGTTCAGCTCGTTGGGTCAATTAGGGTGCGTTCTTGATGATTTGAGGCCCTGTCGTAGATGGGGAGAGGTGTTTCAAAGCGAGGTAGAGGAGCCGTTGATCGCGCCAAATCATTTCGGAAGTGCACTGCAGTCTCCGAAATCCGACGCCTCAACCAAACATTGGGCAGGATCCTTCCAGCTCGACGAGAGTCGCAGACGTTTGAAGCAAGTACATGGATGGCATCATTGTCATGGCCGAGGGAAACTCTAACGTGAGCACTGGTACATATGATTGGTGATTAGTGATATCCTGAACAGATTGGAAAGACCTTGGAGATTATTAGACCCAGTCTATGCTGTATAGC